TGAACATAAGCTCCGACGCAAAATTGTGTTTGCATTTTAAAGTTTTACGAACGAACAGTTTGTGGTGTGTGAATATTGTGTTCCAAAATCAGTGCTTAGGATCCATTTAATTTTGATGCGGATCCGGATCCGCAATGAAAAAAATGGATGAACCGGATAAAAATCCGGTTCCAGGTCATGAACATTTCTTTAAGATTTACAGATTTTTTTTCCAAAGCAGAATTTTCAAATTATTTTTCTTCTTTTTTCGCTTATTTTTATGTCAAAACTTGATAAACCATTTAGAGGTCAAGAATTTTTACAATCCCTTTTTATAACAGTTCAGATTTGGGTATTGAGAGCTACATTTTTTTTCTTCAGTTTTAGTTGATATTTTTCCCCTTGAATCCGGATCCGTGGATTCGCATATTTTTGCGGATCCAGATCCAGGACGCCAAAATCTTGCGGATCCAACGGATCCGGATCCTAAGCACTGGTTCCAATAACCTGTAATAAGGAATAATATTAATACCATTCATAAAATATTTTCAGGTGTGAGGAATTTTAGATTATTATAGTTTGTATCGTTTCAGTTACTATGTGTAAGATAGATATAAAGTGTTTAAGATGAAACTTAAATATTTTCTAAAATAACATAATTTGACATTAGAGTACCATGATTTATTAATTTACCTTGGTTTTGGCATGTGCATATTCATTGCGTGCATGTTCATGGCAGCAGCATGCATGTTAGCGGCATGCGCTGCTGCGGCTTGTGCAGCTGCCTGTGCATGGGCAGCTGCCTGAGCTGCTTCGTATTTCTCGAGCTCGCATTTAACAAAGTAAGGATCATGATGTGAAAGGTTCTGTAGCTCCAACTTGAGCTGCTCCTCGGAGTAAACCTGCTCCAGGTCGTCCAGGTTTGCACAGGCCTGCCTGTTCTGCAGTCCGTCCATCATGAGAACCTAGACACAGCCAACCTTGTCCTAATATTGGATTCTGTATAAACCAAACAAATAATTCTGAAAGTAGATTAAAATAAAAAATACTTTTATCATAATTTTAACATTGTTTTTTTCCCGGTGTTTTTAGTTAAGGATTTTCAAACTTTTCCCTTTCCCTCAGAATTAATTAATTGGGCATGTAACATTAAAATAGCAAACTTATAAATTTATATATATGGTATCAATGGCGTACACAGGAGGGGGCAAGGGGAAGTGCCCCCTAAACCTGTAAAGGGGGAATAATAGCCCCCCCCCCCTAGAACTCAGAGCTATAACATAACACTTTTCAAATCTGAACCAGAAGAGTGAAGAGCATAAAAAAATTAGTTTGCTGTTTGTTTCTGCTAGTTTTGTTTAAAGGAGAGATAAAGAAGTACTTGCAAGGCAAATGGGTATCTTTAAAGTATCTAATAAGCTAAATGATATATATTTACAGTTCACATTTTGCCCCGCCCTAGTAGGAGCTCCTAGTGTGGGGGGGGGGGTTTTCTCGTAAAAGTTAACCACAAATAAGAACTTTTAATCTAATCAAAAACTCCCAAGCACCATACCAAGTTTAATTAGCAAAATATGAGGCAAATCGGCAAAAGGGATAATGAAATATAATCGGACATACAAAAAATAAACAGATATTACGATTTTCTAAAAATACCTTTCAGCTTTTACTGAACACCTTGTGCAAGTGAGAAAAGTTTAGGAATTGTGTTTATTATAGTTTTTATGTTTAAATATTAACTTATAAATTATAAAATTTATACAAGTTCCGAGTTCTATAAAAAATAAGGTTGAAATGGGTGGGACCAAACAGCGTGTTCTCTAAAGTACATATATATTCCGGAAAAACTATACAAAGATTAAGTGAAATTATTATATTTATTTCTTAGTAGTTAGAATCCTTCATGTATATAGATATCATTATTTATCTTAAATGCACGTTAGGGCCGGTGACGAACGAAAATTTTAGAAAATAAACTTAATTTCCTTGTTTTCTACCATAATGTGGGTTTACGTTATCAAGACAGTTCAATTTTAACAAATACTTCGCTTTTGGCGGATATTTAACTTTTCTTTAAATGGTTTTATCACATTCAATACGTAAATTATGTGTTTGAAATAAAATTCTTAATTTTCATGAGTAAAACAGTGAAAAATATAGCTAAAACAATAATGTTGTTTACAGTTAAACATGTCAGGAGAATTAGTTGCGGCATCCCTACCTTTTATTGCGCATTCGCCAAACACATCTCAAAGGTCGTCTTTAATTTTTATTACACAAAAATTATTATTATTTTGGTGGATCCGCATTTGAACTACTGCCGTTTGAACTATGGTACGTTTGAACTATTGCTCGTTTGAACTATTGTTCATTTGAACTACTGACATGACGACATATCCTGTAGTTTAAATCAACGCATTTCTTACTCATTTGAACTATTTTTTTGTCCATTTGAACTATTTGTATGTCAATTTGAACTCTGGGTCCAAAAATCGTTCACTAGGACAGACCCCAAATCTTTTCAGTATTACAAATATTACGTATCATAACAAAATAAGATAAATAATACCTTTCGATATTTCTGAAGCTTCTCAAGCGGTATATTTTTCTCAATCAGCGGAACTTTCTGTTTCATTCTTCTTATCGACATCGTTGAGGATTTTTCGAAGTTTTCGTCAACATCCATTTTACCAAATTTCAAATCTCTGAATAATAATAACTATTCAAAACATTGTTATTTTGGTTCGCAATGCTGTAACGTTTGTGGACAGAAATTTTTCCTTTATCGAGAAGGTCTAAGTCTTGTTAGATTATATTTTGTCCCGAGCTTTAGCTGCGGCTCAGACAGACTAGGGCCGAGCGCACACGCCTAGGACAAGTTAGGGGGCCAGGCGCTGAGGCCACATTACCATTGATACCCATGTACAAAATTTATAGGAGGGGGGGCGTCCAAAAATTGTTCTCTAGACAATAACTGATTT